ACCGGCTCCGCCTCCCTGCGGCGGGGTGCAGCGGTTCGAAAGTCGAGACGAAGGAGAGAGTGATCTGACCATGACAAGGGTTCAGTAACTATATCCCCTATATCAAGATCCCTCAACCACTGTCCAGAGACAAAAACCAGATCCAGCGTGTTTCCCCCTGTGTGGGTAGGGCCATGAATTAACTGGGTCAGGTCCATAGCTGTCATGGAAGCCAGTATACTGTATATACAGTATAGAACACTGTATAGTTAAAGATGAACTTATTCAACGTATGATGTACCAAATTGTATAAACACTGTACCTCTGATCAAGAAAGAGATTGTATACTATTTTTTTTTTTATATTTTGGAAAAAACCAATAAAGTATTTAAAAAAAAAAAGAATGTACGAGTTTGAGGTTGCATGGATTTATTCAGAAACCACCACCCCTCCACAAAGTCTTCAATAGTCCCTGTGTGTGGGAATAGGGGTTAAGATGTTGTATTTGGCCTCAAGTTTAAATTCATGCAACTATGGAAACTCGATGTGACTTTGGGCTAGTTATTCCTTCTCTGTCCTCCTGAAGAAGAAGGAGTAGCAGAATCTTGGGACAGAGTTAAAAGAGGGAGCAGTTTAGAATCCCTATGTGGCTACAAGTGGATTAAGTTTACCTCCACCCTTGAATTACATTGACCTTTACCCAGAGGTGGGCTGCTGCTGATTCAGACCAGTTCACCCTTACCGGTAGTTCCGACTGCCGGCTGGGCCCACCCACTGTCCCGGTGCTATCCCGTCCTATATATCTCGCTCTCTGGCTCGCTCACCCTGCCCATGCAGCCCAGCTGATTTCCGCGCCTTGCCCGCTCTACTCACTGTGGCTTGCGGAGAAGGTTTTCTGGAAGCCGTGCTCATGAAATCGGCGTGTGTTTGAAGCTGTGTGCCAGCGTGAAAGGCGAGCGCGAAATGCACCCACATTTTTGGTTCTGCACTAGGCGAACCGGTTGTTAAATTATGCAAAGCACACCTCTGCCCTTACCTAACTCCAAACAAGTGCTAACCATTAGTTGAAAAGATTCCTGTGCATAAGTAGCAATAAGTCAGTTTAATTGGACTTTCACATGTGGACCTGGGCTTTTGAGCCTGACACCTGCCCACCTCATGCAGCATTGCTGTTGTGGGAATAAAATGTGTGGCTGTCCCATGGAAATTGCCTTAAGCACTAAGAAGAAATACGGAATGTAGATTTAACAAATACTGCATACAGGGGAAATGTCTTTCATTCAGACAAGAGTGAATTAGAAAATCGTAGGGAATAATGGATTCAAGGTGAATTCTGCCACCTTATCATACTGTTATCATAATACAGATAGTCCTCGACTTACAACAGTTCATTTAGCGACCGTTCAAAGTTACAATGGAAGTGAAAAAAGTGACATGACTATTTTTCACACTTATGACCATAGCAGCATCCTCAAGATAACATGATCGAAATTTGGGCACTTGGCAACTGACTCATATTTATGACAGTTGCAGTGTTCTAGGGTCGCATGATCCCCTTTTGCAACCTTCTACCAAGCAAAGTCAAAGGGGAAGCTAGATTCACTTAACAACCATGTTACCCAGTTAACAACTGCAGCGATTCACTTAACAACTGTGGCAAGAAATGTCGTAAAATGGGGCAAAACTCACTTAAGAAACATTTCACTTAGCAACATAAATTTTGGGCTCAGTTATGGTCGTAAGTCGAGGACTACCTATAGTTTTCCATGCTTTGGGAAAAAGAAAAGCCAAATGGATGTTTAATCTGCTCTCTGGGTTATTGTTCTTTTCTGTCTCTTGAGGTAAGCAACGTGCTTATAATACTCTCATCGCTTTCTCAAAAGCCACTTTGAGATCCAATCAATTGTTTGAAGGTCCTTCAAATGTTGTAATAATTCAATTTTTAATTAATGTAAATTGATAGGTACTTTGGTTCTTATTAATGGCATATCTTCTCCTTCTTGGATCCCATCACATTTGTGTGTGTGGTATCAATATAGAATATTTTTTTTCAAAAATAAGATAGTTGCTGTGGTTTATGGAGTGGGGAAGCAATGTTGCGCTGCACCTGTGACAAAGAGGGGGAAAGATTTATTGAAATAATATTGCAATCTGAAAAGGTTTCCTTAATTTCCCCAGAAACTGCAATTTAATTCTTGTCACTAGAGTAATTTTCCCCTTCCTATCAAATCCTTTAAAGAAAAGTAGCAGGGAAATTAAATGAAATGAAATGGAAGCATGCCAAGAGGCAGAAAAGCAGATAATATTGGCTGTGATGGCTCTAACTAGACTAGGTTTGAATGGTGATAACGATGTATTTAACAGTTTTCTTTTTTTTTTAAAAAAAAATGCATTTAACATGGGCATAATTACATAAATTCTGATCTTTCATAGCTCATATGTCATTTTGGCTTTTGAAATAGTCTCCTAACACAGAGGCACACACACACACTGGCAGAGACAAAATCAAAAGTCTCTAGCTTCTGTTCCACAACAATTGTTCCCAATGCTTTCTTTTCAACAAGACATAATCCAATATATATTTTATAAAATTTAATCCATAGTGTTTGTAGGGCTACCAGGTAAACAAGTCATTTTAAAAGTTCGCGTATAATGTTTATATTCAGTGTTACATATGAAGAACCAATAAAGGTGTGAGAGTACTTCGGTCCAATTGTTTCTACCCATACCATTAAATCTGGCAGAAGAGGCATATCATGAGCCTCATCATTTAAGGAATGTCATCTGGAGGGACCCAAGAAGAAAGCCATGCTTGTCTTTGTGCTTGCGCTATGGAACATCATCCCCTCCCCGAGATCAGATTGGCCCCCATCTTGGCTGTATCTGTCAGTGAGAGCCTGTGAAATGGTTATGTTAACTGTAGTTTGATTTTTTTTACCTTGTTGCCAGTTATGTATTTTTTATTTATTTATTTATTTGTCAAGCATGCATAAGATAACAGATATAACTATAAACATGATTATGAATACATGAAATGGATACGAATAAATGGGGGACAGTAGGACAGGGACGGTAGGCATGTTGGTGTGTTTATGCACGCCCCTTATAGACCTCTTAGGAATGGGGTGAGGTCAAGAGTAGACAGTCTAAGGTTAAAGTTATGGGGGTTTGGGGATGAAACCACAGAGTCAGGTAGTGCATTCCAGGCATTGACCACTCTGTTGCTGAAGTCGTATTTTCTGCAATCGAGTTTAGAGCGGTTTACCTTAAGTTTGTATCTATTGTGTGCTTGTGTATTATTGCGGTTGAAGCTGAAGTAGTCATTGACAGGTAGGACATTGTAGCAGATAATTTTGTGTACTACGCTTAGGTCAGACTGAAGGCGGCGCGTAATTCTAAATTGTCTAAGACCAAAATTTCAAGCCTGGTGGCATAAGGTATTCTGTTGTGAGTAGAGGAGTGGAGGACTCTTCTCGTGAAATATCTCTGGACTCGCTCAATTGTATAAATGTCCGATATGCAGTGCGGGTTCCAGACAGACGAACTGTATTCGAGAATTGGTCTAGCAAAGGTTTTATATGCCCTAGTTTGCAATACAATATTACTGGAGAAGAAGCTTCACAAGATTAGGTTAACAATTCTTATTGCCTTTTTGGCAATGCTGTTACAGTGAGCTCTGGCACTTAGATCATTAGAGATGAGTACTCCAAGGTCCTTGACAGAGTGAGGGTCATCTATGAGGTTGTATCTGCCTAGCTTGTATTTTAGTTGTCAGTTGTGTTTTTAACTGTTGTTAACTATCCAGAATAACTATGGATAGATGGGCAGCCATCTAAGTGAATTAAACTCACCACAGTAAAACCTTCATTTAACAGATCATCCAAAGTTGTCTAATAATCCTGAATGTTTGTTAAATCTAAGATAAATTATTTGCAGTAATTCATTTGTATAACAAATGAAGCAAATTATACCTTCCACACCACTTTGCATAATGTTGACATTCTACAAATGGCAGGAATTGGATCATTTGCCCCAATTAATGTCCTTTGGGGAGTGAAAGTGGTGTGAAGACTTTAGCAGGGGTTAAAAATAGTGCTTTCAGCCTCGTGGTTTGAGGGGGGTTGATTTTACTCAGTATGGCAAGAAGTAAAAATTGCTCCTATCCATTTATCGATGCTGAATCATTCATGGGTTGGATACATGCTGGCCTTCCATAAATAAAAGGTCTTATTAAATTATTTGGGTCCAGCCTACATTATATTGAAAGAAAATCACATCAAAAGTCAATGGCGGGACTTTGAAGGTTTACCTAACCTCACCTAATGAAGTGATTGTTCCAACTCTCTGGATTCATAGTTTTATTTTCTTTCAGCAGAAACTATCCATACATCTCTTGTAAGCAAGTTTTAGTAATAATGCACATTGTATCTGCTATTCTCCTGGAAATATGTTGTAGAATAGAATAACCGAGTTGGAAGGGACTTTGGAGGTCTTCTAGTCCAACTCCCTTCCTAGGCAGGAAACCCTACACCACTTCAGACAAGTGGTTATCCAACATCTTCTTAAAAACTTCCAGTGTTAGAGCATTCACAACTTCAGGAGGCAAGTTGTTTCACTGATTAATTGTTCTAACTGTCAGGAAATTTCTCCTTAGTTCTAAGTTGCTTCTTTCTTTGATTAGTTTCCACCCATTGTTTCTTGTCCTGCCCTCAGGTGCTTTGGAGAATAGCTTGACTCCCTCTTCTTTGTGGCAACCTCTGAGATATTGGAACACTGCTATCATGTCACCCCAGTCCTTCTTTTCATTAAACTAGACATACCCAGTTCCTGTAACTGTTCTTCATATGTTTTAGCCTCCAGTCCCCTAATGTTGCTCTTCTTTGCACTCTTTCTAGAGTCTCAACATCTTTTTTACATCGTGGCGACCTAAACTGGATGCAGTATTCCAAGTGAAATTTGTGAAATAACTGTTGTTTCCTTTTTTCTCTGAGGTGTAAATATTGGTATTGTTTTTATTTTAGGACCTAAGCAACATTGCAGGAGCTAAGCAGAATCTTGAGGAGGAGATCAGAAGCCTCCAAAACAGATTGGCAGCCAGCCAGCGGGCTTGGGAAGAATTCGGCCAACTAAAGGTCCATTGCAATGAAAAAGAAATGGAACTGAGAACTAATCTAGAGCAAGCCAGAGAAGAAAAAAAGCTGCACAATGAATTCAAAGATCAAATAGTGGCTTTACTGGGGAGTAACCCCATTGTGGCGACTCCATCCAAGGAAGACATTGTGGAAAAAATCCGAGAGTTGTGCCACAGAGAGGAGAGCAAAAAAAGAGTATGTTAAAACTTGTCTTATTTTTCTTCAGTGTGCTTAATTTATTCCTGTGTATAGATTTTATTTTAGTTCACTTCAGAAAATTTTTAAAAATTAATTCATGAATTGACAGGATTGTCTAATTGTAAGTGGATGAACTTTGATACAATTGTTCTGAACTGATAAGACGCACCGTTGTTTTATTTTGATGTAATAGTTTATATAGCAGTTGCTCGGTATCTAATGATTGTAGGGAAAAAAAATCACAAAAAAAGCAGAGCCCATTAAAGAAAAGCACATCGTTAAATTGCAATCTATTAAAAGGAGTACATGGTGACATTTATTTATTTATTTTACATTATATCAGGAGTTAAATCTACTTACCTTCCCAAGTAGCACATGCATCATGTGCACGCCTTAGACCCTCTGTGCATGCGCAAACCCTTTTGCGCATGCACAGAGGTAAAAAACAGGTTACTTCCTGGTTAAAACCAGGAAGTAATGATGACCGGGCGGGTGGGCGGAGCCTCGTGCCACCATTGCTACCGGTTCTCTGAACCACCGGCCGCCATCGCTACCAGTTCGGCCGAACCAGTCCGAACCGGAAGCATTTCACCCCTGCATTATATTCTGCCCACTTTGAACCAATTTAAGCAGAATAAAATCTAAGAAAGTAAAATGAGGGGGGGGGGATCCCTAGACTCATACCTATAATCCTATACTTAAAATAATTACAGAAAAAGGGCAATGAAAAGGTGATCATATGTTGTGTATGATATATTCTTCAGTCCTGGTTAGTAATTTAACTGTCATGACTATAGGCTTTTCATATCACAATAAACTATATTGTAGTTTCTAACTTAACTTCCTCCCCGCCCCCCGGTTTAAGGCGATGTTGCCACGTCCATCCCCTATCTTAGTTGATGATGCTTAGTTTGGGCCTCTCATTTTTCAACTTGACCTGTTCTTGTCTTGGAATATACTGTATTTATATGAAAGAAAGAAGGTCCTGAATTTAAGACAATCTCCCTTTCCAAATAATCTTCTAGATTAATCATCATCATCACAACCCATTGTGTATAAAATGCAGCTAATATGTAAAATGTATGCAAGGAGAGGAGAATATACACATACACATACACACACACATACATTCTCCATACTAACCAAATCATTCCAACACTCAGAAGTGTGCAAATACAAACGTGTGCAACATTTTCTTTCCTCCTTCCCTTTCAACAAAAAGAATAAAAATAAAATATGATCGATAAAAATATGAGGTGAGGAAGGAAGGAAAAAATGGTTAAGGAGAATAAAATGCAGCTCTTTGGTGTATAATAAACAGCTGTAATGTAGCACAGTCACATGTGCTGGGGCTACAACTCAAAAGATATCCAGCCACTATGGTCAGATCATTCTGCTTGAACATTATTGTCTTGTGAGTAAGTAGTAATGGCAAACAACAGGCCTGATTTAAATATCTCTTGCAGGTATTTATTAATCAACTGTTAGGTTACCTCTGGGATAATAAATCCAACTCCATATTTGTTGACACAGTCTTTTTATTAATGTCCATTTGCTTGGATTATATTTCTTTGCAGGTCAAATTAGTACTCAATTTATAACACTTCATTTAATGACTTGTTTGAAGTTACAACCGCCCTGAAAAAAGTGACTTATGACCATTGCAGCATCCTCATGGTCACATGATCAAAATTCAGACGCCTGGCAACTGACTCATATTTATGAAGGTTGCCGTGTCCCGGGGTCATGTGATCACCTTTTGCGATCTCCTGAAAAGCAAAGTCAATGGGAAATCCAGATTCACATTACGACCGTGTTACTAATTTAACAACTGCAGTGATTCACTTAACAACAATGTACCAACGTAACACTTGTTAAAGAACGGTCGTAAAATAGGGGCAAGATTCACTTAACAAATATCTCACTTAGCAACAATCTGAAATTTTGGACTCAATTATGGTCATAAATCGAGGAGTATTACAAGATGCCTCAAATGCCTCTGTTTACAGTCTAGTGCAGGGGTGGGCAAATATGGCCCCTTTATGACCTGTGGACTTCAACTCCCAGAATTCCTGAGCCAGCTTGGCTGTCTCAGGAATTCTGGGAGTTGAAGTCCACAGGTTGTAAAAGGGCCACAGTTGCCCACCCCTGGTCTAGTGTCCTCTGCATTGAGTGTTCACTATGTCACAGATCCAGTAGAGGCTGCTCATGGACACTTTTTAAATTTCTTGGTTTTCTGTGTGATGACCTAATTGTAGTTTAAGTAACTTTGGATAACCCAAATGTGCTATAAAACGCTTTTTAAAAAATAATTCCTTAACAAGCAAATTTCCAATTGACTAATCCAAGCTTGTGGTCAAGAAACTTAGTTTCCGTAACTTAGTGCCGTAAAAAGGCCCACTAAACTTTCAGGCTATAAAGTTGAGTGCTTGATGTTTAGTAAACAGTTGCCTCTGTGATTTATTGCAATGAGCTGGCTCAAACGTCTATGCTGCAATACCACAGCTATTTCCTGAAGAGCCCTGATAATACACAATTGCAGTGAAATACATATGTATGGTTGGGAGAGAGAGGCAGAAATACTTTACGCCAACCTGTTTCTGGCTGCCTGTCTTGGGACTCTTAACTCCCACAATCCCCAACCAGAATCCTGGAAGTTACAGTCCAAGCACATATGGACAGGATCAGGGGAAAGGGGAAAATGTTGTAAAAGCTTTCAGCATTCCCTGTTCATTTCTGACATTTTTATGCCACTCCTCTCCAAATGGCTTTAAGCAGCCTGCAGCAGAAAGATGAAAAATAACCATACCAAATATCCTAGTTACGCTGCAGCTTGTCACAAAATGTTCTGTTAGAAAGGCAAAGGATGATAAAACTTATGGAACCTTGCAAATTCAACAAGTTGCTTATGCAGTCCGTCTGATAACATCACACTTCATATGTTATAGCAGGGTCCTCAAACTATGATTCGCGGGCAGGATATGACCCCACTGAAGCCATTAATCCAGCCCACTCAGGACCACGAGGCTGCCCTGCCCACATCGCCCCACCTACCTGCCAGCCCCCACCTGCCTTCTGGAGGCCGCGGAGGCCAAAAACGGGACACGCGGAGGCCCTGGGGCTCCCCCTAGCCTCCAGAGAGAAGGAGGGAGGGACACACACACACACACACACACACACACACACACACACACACAAACAGAAGTCCCTCACCCCCCCCCCCAAGGCAGCTACATCCCTTCACTAACCTGCTTTCCACCCCCAGGAGCATAACAAATTGAAGTTTAATTTGTGTGTATTGTTTAATGGATTGCTAAATTGGCCATGCCCACCCAGTCACGTCCACCCAGTCACATGACCACCTAGCCACACCCACCCAGCAGGTCCAACCCCCCCCAACCGTCTGAGGGACTGTGAATTGGCCCCTGTTTAAAAAGGTTGAGGACCCCCTGTGTTATAGAAACAGCAGAACATACTGAGGTGATCTCCCCATGGGAAGAAGAATGGATGCCTTGGTTACAACAGAAAGAGGATTTGGGGCTTCATTAGTGAAAGTAGAGCACGCTGCTAGGATTGACCATGGGGTTATTTTTCTGGGTCTACAAGGGGACACTGGAGCAAAGTGCTTCACCTGAACCTGAATACATTTGGCAGAAATGTTTAAGAGTATTATAACAGGCAAAAGGAAATTGCAGTTTTTCATAAAAATCAAGGGTGGGGGAAAAAAGTCAAATGCATTTGCTGAAAATCGCTGACACATTGCTAGCATAGAATAGATCTGAAGAGACGAATGCCCTATTTACATTGCTCTGGAATGATGTCCACCAATATGGAAGTGTTCACTTCAGTCTTTGGAGAGCTTGAATTTGAAGCTCAGAAACTCAGACTGCTATACAACAGCAGAAGGGGCTTAAGCATGTTCTGCTATTATTCCTAGGGAGGGAAGAATATTGTGTTCTACAGGGTTAGTTTGGATGTGTTCACGAATTTAGTAAGTTCTGGCTAGAACTGGTTTACTGAATCTAGAAAAGCATGCAGTAAAACCTTGTATGGAATTTTTAACATACAGAAATATCATCCATATGATGTCTGCGTAGACACCTCCCCCCCATATACATGCCTATGTATATCATTGTGTATAAAAAAATATTGTTATTAAATTATTTCATGTATCTGGCTATGCTTCAGCATCTTGCAGGGCTTATTTTTGTTGGTTGTTTGCAAAAGGAGAGTACAATCTGATGCTTGTGCTAGAGCTAATCATTTCTGTCCCTGGGGCAATGTCTTAAATTATTTGTTCCTCCCTTTGTTTGGTCAGAACTAACTTACAATGAGCCACCTGTTTCCAGTTCCTTTCAATCTTATTACTGAAGAAATGTTATGGTGCACACGGTGTACTCACAGAGTTAAAATGAAAACTTGCATGGATTGTTCCTTCGCTTGGACTATTATCCTTGCTGAACATCCAGGAAATGAGTATCTTTGTTGAAAACAAGTTCTCTTATCTCAAGCTAAAGAATCATTACAGTTTTAATAGCTACAGTATAAGCATATTGCAGGGCATCTGAAGTCCTTTTGGTATGCTTTCAGCTGTGTTGGGAGCATGTGCATCTTGGTAGAGAATTGGCAGGGTTTTCTCTTCTCTCCCTTGCCCATTTTTTTTTTTTTACTGAAAACAAATGGCCTCGTTCATCTCTTGGGTCTGGGATTCCACAGATGGTTTCTGCTGTGTTGGCAGGGAAGAATGCATCTGCCAACCTAATGCATCTGGAGAAACCAGCGTTTAGAAGCTGGTTAATGTTGTGCCTAAAGTTTGGCTGGTGTTCTTAGCTGCCGTTACAGATAGATAGAGATATATACAGATTAACAGAGTTGGAAGGGGCCAAGTCGGTCATCTAGTCCAACCCTTGCCCAAGCAGACCCTACGCCATTTCTGACAGATGGCAGTCCATTCTCTTCTTGAAAGCTTCCAGTGATGAAGCTCTCACAACTTCTGAAGGCAAGCTGTTCCATTGGTTGATTGCTCTCACTGTCTGAAAATTTCTCCTTATTTCCAGGTTCTGAACTCTCCTTGTTCAGTTTCCATCCGGTTCTTCTATTTGCTTGTCTGACTTGCTGTTCATACATTTGATAACATCTCCATACAGACTTTTTCTTGGGGGTCTCATCTTGGGTAATATTATCTATCTGTATTTGAGATATTGTAATTTTAAATGCGGAAGCGTTTAGGGGGAAAGCGAACACCGCATGCATAAATGCTGGCAAAATTGAGGTCAGCCTGCAGACACCAGGATTGCATTTCCTAGCCAGGGTAACTCTAACAGCTTTCAAGGGGGTGGCGGACTGAATATGAACAAAAAAATAAGCTATAAAGTTCCGCAGAGAAATACAATTAATTTTGAACAATGTTATGAATAGAATCCAATAATCTTCATTTTATCCATTTGGAGATTTATGGAAGGTTCATACAAGTAATAAAGCATACTTAAGACAGATGTTATTGTTTCTATGGTTTTGTGTAATGGGATTTATTTTGTTTTTGGCTATGACTACACTAGATTAGCTTTTATTTATTACCATCTGTTGGCTTAAAATCTGTGGCATCACAAGCCTGTCAACCTTAATTTTAAAATGTTTTACTACATTTCAACTGATTCAACCCTACCTAACTATAGAAAATACAGTATATGTTTGCCTTATATCTTAGTACAGTGATGGCTAACCTTTTTGCCGTCGTGTGCCAAAAGTGGGGGGGAGCATGGGAGGGTTGAACGCGTGCGTGCCCACACCCATAATTCAATGCGCCCCGCCCCTGTGCATGCACGCATGACCCCCCCTGTGCTTTCCCACTTTTGGCACAGTGGGCCCACTAGGCCTGATTTTTGCCCTCCCCAGGCTCCAGAGGCTTTCTAGGAGCCTGGGGAGGGCGAAAACAGCCTTCCCCACCCCCCACCCCGGAAATGGCCCGTTTCCCAACTTCCGGTGGGCCTGAAAGGCCCATAAATCAGCTGTCCGGCACACACATGCGTGCTGGAGCTGAGCTAGGGCAACACTCGCGTGCCCACAGATATGGCTCCGCATGCCACCTGTGGCACGCATGCCATAGGTTCGCCATCACAGTCTTAGTAGGTATCAAGCCAATGTATTTCATAGACTATATCTTTGATTCCGAGTTGGATATGGATCAGAATATGGTCTTACTGATTTATAATAACTTTGAAGGAAAACCCTAGGACCGTGATGGCAAACCTATGACATGTGTGCCAAAGGTGGCACACAGAGCCCTCTCTGGTTTCCGGTGCGCAGGTCAGCTGTTCTTCATGTGCGCTGGAGCACCAGAAACCCAAAGACCAGCTGGTCGGTGTGCATGCGCGCGCTGGCCACATGGTCTTCGGGTTTCCAGAACTCTGGCACGCGTAAAGACCAGGTGCCTAGTGCGTGCATGTGCACCGGCCAGCTGGTCTTAGGGTCTCTGGCACTCCGGCGCTCTGGCGCGTGTTGTGCGCATGTGTGCGCTCCAGTTCGGGCACTTGGTGCTGAAAAGGTTTGCCATCACTGCCCTAGGAGACCTATAATATGTATGTCTTTATTCCAGGTTCCTACAGATGGTAGAGCTTGGAATAATCTCTCACCTTTACTTCTGTCCTATTTTCCTGCCCATCATCTTATCATTCATTCATCCCTTTAGGGAACCTCTATACTTTTATATGCAGTGTCTTTTGAAATAATAATAAAAAAAAAAGATTTTTCATGCTCATATACAGAAAGAGATGGTATTTATCCAACTTTGCCAATGAAAAAAGAGAATTTCCCAATCTTTATTCCTCCTGCAGGCTGCATCTGCTGCATCTGCCATTTGGAGAAAATAGTTCCTAATATATGCTGTGGACAGATGCGGTACCAGCAAGGGTTTTATGTGAATTTTATAGAATTTATAGAATTTTCAAGAATTAAATGAAAGCATGGGACATTATGAGGGAAGCACTGTACACCAAAAATAGTTCCTAATATATGCTGTGTGGACAGATGTGGTACCAGCAAGGGTTTTATGTGAATTTTATAGAATTTTCAAGAATTAAATGAAAGCATGGGACATTATAAGGGAAGCACTGTACACCAAAAACACACATTAATTTCTTACTTTTCCATAACTGGAAGATTAATAATGGAATACATAATGCTCTGAGAGCCAGTTTGGTGTAGTGGTTAGGGCATCAGGCTTGAAAACAGAAGATTGCGAGTTCTAGTCCCTCCTTAGGCACAAAGCCAGCTGGGTGACCTTGGCCCAGTCACTTTCTCTCAGCCCTAGGAAAGAAGCAATGGAAAACTTCTTCCAAATCTTGCCAAGAAAAGTGTGGGGACTTGTGCAGGCATTCTCCAAAAATCAGACATGATTGAACAGAAATTAAAACAATGTTGTTCAATGTTTAAATTAATATCAGATTCCGGTATACCTGTAAATATTCTTGTGTTAGTGTAACAGTGGTAATCTGGCAGGTTTATAGCATTATTTATCAATAAACTTTAAGTGAGCATGTATTGACCCATTTTCATTAACAGAATATTTATTCAAATTTACAAGATGGATATTAATATAATGTCTGCTTCACAAGTTGCTCTAATTTTGGTTTGTTTGCAATTGGCTTAGCATATTGTATGAATCTAGCTTTTGCAATGTATAGCTTTGTGTGATATATGAATTCAACCAATGGAGAAAGTTTTTTTTCAACTGACAGGGTAAGAAATTGTAGCTTAGTGAGTTTTGCGAATTCAGCCACAGTCCATATATGCTACACTACTGTATGGTAACTAGATCAAGTCCTTCTGATTAAGTGTTCATGTTTTTCCTTGAGTAGAAAGTGATTGTTTTATTGCCCTTCTATAATTGGTGATTTTCTTGTACCACAGATTAGTGTCCTACTCAGTCTCTGATTTGAGTTTACTATTTTGTTTCCCAGATGGTATCCCAGCTTGAAGCCCAAATCAGCAAACTTACCGAGACTCTGGAAACTCAGACAATGTTGCATCAGGAGGCCTTGCAAAGAGCCAAAAAATCAGAAAACAAATCAGAAATGCTTCATGATCAGTTGATGCGCCTAGAAGGAGAGCTGGTATCTGGAGATGTGATGCGAGATGCTTGGAAACTTGAGAAACAACAAGTAATATCTTATGTTTATAGGAAGGGTATAAGGCAAGGTAGAGAAAGCTTAATTTAATGATGTGGTCCTGATTTTATCAAAAGTAAATGTATGCTCTGATTGGCACAGTCATGTTCACATCGGTAAAATTTGTTGGGGAAATCATTTTTCAGTATGATCAGAGTGGTGATTTGAACATAAAATGTATATATAAGTGTTCAGGGACTGTATTAAAAAGTACTACAAGTCTGAGCACTTAGGGAGTGTTGTAAGCAACAAGCCATGAAAATATCTAAGGAAATGTGTTGGTGTTTTGGATCTTGTAGAGATAAGCTACTAAAAGATTTCTGGCTGCCTGTTCTAGACCCCAAGAGGCAATCTGTTTTTGGATTAGTATTCCAAGTAAATTTTTCTGGAAGTTGCCAGTACTATAGAGAACACAGTAGGGGAACTTAATATATTTTAAATGAAAATAAAATGTTACTGAGAAATCAGCTCTTTACCAGATAGAGAAGAATAGAATCAAAACTAGGTCTTATTCTGCTAATTATATTATTGAAGCTTACAGAAATTCTATGGGTTTCATGGGTTGCAAAAGATAAAATGTGTGTTCAGTTAAGGTTTTTTTTGTTTTTTTTTTACTTTTAGTTACTTTTTTTTTACTTTAGTTACTTTCAATAATTTTTTTCCCTAACTTCAGCATATAAACCATGATCCCAAATTTGAGTATGTCAACATTTCCTTGATTCTGTTTTCTGAAATTTTCTTCTTTAGTTTTACAATGATCACATAATGATCACATAATAATCACAGTGACACAGCTTATGGCCCGTTTGGATGTGCTAAATCATTGGAGGCAAATAAACCTCCAATTAAAGTGAAGCAATTGCTTCATTGCTCATTCTGTTGAATGATCCTTATTGGGTTGATAAAATGTATGGATAAAAGAGTTTTACCCTAGCAAAAAAAGCTTGGCATAGTTTGCCCCTTTTGTCTCAAATCCTATTATTTATGTATTTGAATGACTTCTAATGGAGCATGGCAAAGGCAGATTTTTCTGTCTTCTGTCCTCACAGAAGAGCACTGTGGTAGGTTAGATAGAAATGTCCCTGTTCTGAATGCACTGCCCAAGCTTGTCTGTAATGAAGTTTCATGATGTAGCTCTTGATACAGCTGGCAAGAACCATTACTCTCCAGAGGTAGTATTCAGCCGGTTCAGACCGGTTCAGGCAGGGGTGAAATCTACTTACCTTCCTTACGGTTCGGAAGAACACACACACGCGTCATGTGTGTGCGCAGACTTTCTGCGCATGCGCAAAACCTTCTGCGCATGTGCAGAAGGTAAAAAACACCTGGGCAGGTGGGGGGAACTTTCGCTCCACCATCGCTACTGGATCGCCAAACCACCGGCCAAAATCGCTACCGGACTGGGTGATCCGGTCCGATCCAGGAGTATTTCATCCCTGGGTTCAGGCACCTCGGCTCTATGCCGTCCTATTTAGGCACATTTTTGAGGCCAGGGTCAGGCGCGGAAGGTGCGTGCGCAAGCAAAGTGCATGCACGGAAGGCCAGGCGCATGTGTCGAAGGTAGGTGCATGCGCGAACCGATAGTAACAAAATGTGAAACCCACCACTGTTACTCTTGCCCATCAGAGAAAGTCTTAGAAACATTCATCTCTCCAGGAGGCACTGACTCAGTGAAAAAATCTATATGGGAAGCTCAGTGTCTTATCCCTTCCCTACCTCCAGCTACTGTTCCTCCAGCTACTACTCCAGTCCCAGCTGCCTCCCTGCTCAGCTTTTATAGCCAACAGTTGCTATTCTGGCTAGGGAGAAGCCTTAAATGGACAGGGCAACAGCAGCACAGGTGCTGGCCAGTTTTTAGGCAAAATGTCCTCTCATACTCCCTATACAGTATGGAGGTTGCATGTGTAAATGTATGAGGATAAAGAATGAATTATTAAAAAGTAAAAAAGAATAAATATGAGTAAAAATAGAGAAATTAGAATTTGAGGGCGAATGAAGTTGTTCATATAAATAAACATATAAATATTAAGATATGATTAAAAAATATGGGAAAAGATGATTTTGGCAGAAATTGTAACTAAGTAAAATGTATTTGGATATGATAAGTTGTATAAGATATGATATGAAGAGCCTTTGTAGTACTAGGTTTAAGGCACCTGTTATTAAGCTGCTTAAGACAGCTGCCTGCAATTACTGCAGGGTTCGAATCTCGTCAAGGCTCAAGGTTGACTCAGCCTTCATCCTTTCTAAGGTAGGTGAAATGAGGACCCAGTTTGTGGGGGCAATAAGCTGACTTTGTATAAATATACAAAAGGATGAAGGCTATTGCTGAGCACATTGTAAGCCGCCCTGAGTCTTCGGAGAAGGGCGGCATATAAATCAAAAATTTAAAAAAAAAAAAAAATATGGCCAATACTCTGTTCATAAAATATGTGGGTAAAGGGGGGGGGGGAGAGAAAAAAAATCAATAAAACTTGATTAAACAAAAAACAAACAAACAAAAAAAGGATATCACAGTGCCAGCAACAGACAAGGTAGCTGTAAAAATTACCTCAAGCCATTTTCTTCCATATGAATATAGATGCTATGGATGAGAGGAAGTTTAAAGATTAGAACACGTGCACACTTTGCAAACTGTATGCCATCCTGTGCATGTATAACTCTAGGAAGAGTTATTTTTTCATGTCCTTTAGAAAACATTAGCACCTTTATTGTTTTCCATTTGTTTCCTAAGTGAGAATGGAAGAACTCCAGAGATACAACCATTGCACCATTTAGAACACAAGAGTTTTGTGGTATCTTAATTTAAAAAAAAAAAAAATGTACCTTTTTCATCAAGTTTAGTTCTTGCTGACTTCATGGAGTTTTCTTGATAGAGTCAAGAAGTGATTGTTCTCACTTAACAACCAGTCATTTTACAAGCATTCAAAGTTACAACAACCATGAAACGGGTGCCTTAACAGCCCATAAAGATCCCTAGCCAACATAAATAGTTGGGCTGCCACATGCCATGGCTGCATGTAGTGCAGATCAGCTTTATGACAGGTCGTGGCATTGAACAGTCACACGACCACAAGTCATAATAGGGTTTTGCTGGTTTCCAGTATTGTTTGCCAGTTTCCAACAAAAATGCTCAAATGAAGATCATATTCAGGAAAGAGAGACGGCCTCTCGGCCCCTCAACCTCCCTGTTATGGGTTCTTTTATGTAGATCCAAGTCAGTGGGCTCCAAAACACCAGAGAGCCAACCCAACAACATAGGTGCTACACAACACCCACACAAGCACTTGCAGGCTGGTACTCATAGACTGATACTAACTGCTCTCTCTTCCACTCTTCCCCACCTCCAGCTACTGTTCCTCCAGCTACTACTCCAGTCCCAGCTGCCTCCCTGCTCAGCTTTTATAGCCAATAGTTGCTATTCTGGCTAGGGAGAAGCCTTAAATGGACAGGGCAACAGCAGCACAGGTGCTGGCCAGTTTTTAGGCAAAATGTCCTCTCATACTCCCTATACAGTATGGAGGCCCCATAGTGTTGTCCTGGAAGTGGGCACCATTTTGGAATGGCCACATTGTGGTCACTCATTGTTTTCATTGTAGCCACTCCCAAAATGGTGTCCACTTCCAGGATAACACTGTAGGGCCTCCATGTTGGAATACTGTGCAACAGAATGGCTGCTTTGCAAAAGAGATCTATGGAAAACTTAAGTGACCGAGCTATGATGAGAATGGGGATGTGTGGTAGGACCCAGTGGCGTGAGAGGCAGGCATAAGGCCTGTGGGGATCCAGAGGGTAGGATGAGGGAAAGATAGTGCATTACTGCAATTGGGCATAAGGAAAGACGGAGTGCCAAGCAACCAAATTTTGTTTGTGTGACCTTGGGGGCACTGCAGCGGCTATAACTCTGAGCAGGAGTTGTAAGTCCATTCATTCTCTGCCCTTTAATTTCAAACGGTCTCTCAATATATGATCATAAGTCGAAGACTACCTGTATACTGCCATAATCCTTAAAGATTCCAAGCTGTTGACAGCATAAAAATGTAAACAATACAACGGTATATAAAAACAATATCATTTGAGTAGACAATGCCAAATGCTCCTCAGAAAAGCTCTGTTCTGACCAGTTTCTGGAAAGCTCAAAGGCTTAATCTCTGGAGGGAAACTATTCCACAGAATAAGGTCCATCCCTGAGGAAGACAATTTCTTGGTCTCAGCCCTCCTGTCCCTACTTCAGGAAACTGAAACATCACTAGCAGATTCTCTTGTTCTGGATGATGAATTCTGATGGGAGAAATTTGTTTGAAGATACTGGGAGCTTAGCAAGAAAGGATTTTATGTGCTCCTTTGAGCACTTTGAGTTGTACCCAGGAATCTACCGGAAGCCAAAGGAAGGCCTGCTGTGACTTTTAGGAAGTCATGGTGACACAAATTTGGAAAACTTGTGATATCTGTATTCAGAACTTTGGGGGGGGGGGAACTTGCAATATGGCATGGCTTGCATGCTGTACTTAATGCAGATTAAATATTGGCATTCTCTGGTGGGCTGCCTGCCCCAGTTTTATTAGGTGGTGTTCTCTTTTAATTATTTATTTATTTATTTATTTATTTATTTATTTATTTATTCGCATTTCTATACCGCCCTTCTCCTTTCGGACTCAGGGCGGTGAACAGCCAGATAAAAAACATCTATACAAACATCACAATTAAAATAGAATTAAGATAATTTATAAATTTGGCTCATAATTTAAAACTTGTCAATTAAAATAAATATTAAAATTTTAAAAATTTTAAAACTAACCCTAAAATCAGGACAGACCGGCTAGTTGAAAAAAATGAGTTTTTAGGGCCCGACGAAAAATCCGGAGGTCGGAGATCACTCGTATCTCTGGGGGTAGATTGTTCCATAGGGTAGGTGCCACCACAGAGAAGGCTCTCCTCCTGGGGGTCGTCAGCCGGCATTGTCTGGCCGACGGCACCCTGAGGAGGCCCTCTCTGTGGGAGCGAACCGGCCGGTGGGAGGCTATTGGTGGCAGAAGGCGGTCCCGTAAGTACCCTGGCCCTAAGCCATGGAGCGCTTTAAAGGTAATCACCAACACCTTGAAGCGCACCCGGAAGTCCACCGGAAGCCAATGCAGCTCGCGCAGGAGAGGAGTCACATGGGAGCGCCCCGTCGCTCCCATAATCCCCCGCGCAGCCGCATTCTGCACCAGTTGGAGCCTCCGGGTGCACCCCAAGGGGAGCCCCATGTAGAGAGCGTTACAATAGTCCAGACGAGAAGTGACGAGTGCTTGAGTGACCGTGCGTAGGGAGTCCCGGTCCAGAAAGGGACGCAACTGGCATATCAGGCGAACCTGACAAAAAGCCCTTTTAAGATTTGAAGACGTGGACAATCATGAGACAGAATGAGCATGGAAAGAAAAGAGAATCCTTTTGGGTCCAGCCTATTGTACTTAAAAAGAATCAAAAAGACTTACATGTGTTGGTTTAGTCTTGGCCATAAAAGCCTTCTAGAAAGCATGAATTAATTAAAATATTTTTCACATGTTAGATTAAATGCAACTCCTTTGAGCAATATTAGATTATTTGCAAATGTCTGAAAATATATGCCTTTTAACAGTAAAAGGCAGCATGGCAAGAAAACATGAAGCAATAAAAATGTAACATTTTTATTGCATTAATAAATCTTTATTTCTGTTAAAGCAATTGTAAGAGGCTAAGAATGCAAGCTTTGTTCTGAGCAAACTGGATGCCTTTCTCCTCATATTTTCTTTCCAAAGTATCTTAAGTTTCTGGATCAGCTCTCTGAAAAGATGAACCTGGACAGAATAGCAGTGGAGGTTGGATTTGACATGAGGTTGGATGCAGTGCTGGCTCGTGCAGAACAGTTGATCAAGTTGGAACGAGACACATTGACTGACAATAAGATCATGGTCCGAAACCTGCAGAGAAAGGTAGGAAAGATATCTAAACAGCAGAGGTATTAATGCTTGGTTCGGTTTTTTTATAGTATCATAATATCAAACTAGGGCTGGGATAATACTCATTTAAGTCTCACTCGAATCCCAACACTGTGAAGAGAGGGGAAGAAGTAAGCTCCACTTTTCCCTGGAGGAAGAATGGAGCATATGAATAAATGAATATTTACTATCACAGGTGACATGTTTTTTTTTTTTTAAATCGAAAATGTAGGTAAAAGCTCAGAAAGAGCAACTTGAAAACAAAGAACTGCATGTGAAGCTTTTGCGTCAGAAGATCGTCCAGCTGGATGAGGAGAAGCAAGTGCGCACAGCCCTGGCAGTAGAAAGGGATGAGGCCAACCTCACAGTCCGAAAGTTACAAAAGAAAATAGACAGATTGCAGAATGAACTTTCTTTGGCGAGAGAAACACACACAGATCTGAAAGTTAAACTTGCTGACACGAATGAACTGAAGGTGGGTAATAAAGCTAATAGCGTGAGTCAAACCATATTTAGAGGGGTATGAATAAAAGTGAATGGATTTGCATTTAACTTCGTAATAACGATGCCTAATCTGTCCATCCCAATTGCTCCACAGTAGAAAGCAATTTTGAAATGATTAGCAACACGCCTTCTTCAAGAACCTGAAATTTAGGAGAGATAGAGTAGCTCATACTTGACACAACTTCAAATGTGTGCAGCGCTTCTCCTGCAAGTGAGCCTTATTTGGGTAGATGAGGCTCAGGGAAAAGCGAAATGCTTCTTGGCATCTTATGTGATATTTTCCTTAGACCACTTCCATGTTTCCTTCTTTGGAATTTGTGTTCAGATCAAAGCAATGGAGCAAGACAAAACCATAGAAGAACTCAGCAAATCTCAAGAGAAACTGGAAAAGATGAAGACTAAAGCTGAGAAGCAATTAACCTCTGTCCAGTCTGAGCTACATGTTAGACAACGTGAAGCAAAGGAAGATAAAGAAAAGGCTAAACACTTGTTGGAGTCTGTGACTACAGAAGCAACAGCACTTAAATCAACTCTTGAAGAAGTCATGAAAAGAGAGAAACAGGTATGTGCCAGGATCACCAATAAGGGGTATGTGTTATTTGTCACCTTTATCTAGTGGTGGGATTCAGCCATTTCGCACCCCTTCGGGAGAACCGGTTGTTAACTTTCTGAGCAGTCTGGCGAACTGGTTGTTGGAAGAAATCATTAGGGCAGAGAACCGGTTGTTAAATTACTTGAATCCCACCACTGCCTTTATCCATTCATCAGTCTAAATATTTGCCCTCTCACAGGGCAGATAACAGTCTATTAAAAGGAACCATAAATAACCTAGAATAATCAAAACAACACCTTGCATTCAGGGTGAGTCATACATCACACAATCATATGCCTGAAGATAAGCTCACCAATTATTTTGAGCCAATACTTGAGGGAAGAACCGGCTCTTCAATGCCCTACGAAAGACTGACAGGGTTGGGGGCCACCTGAATCTCGGTGGATTAACTGTTCCATAGGGCAGGACCTGTTTGATAGAAAGGATTCAGAGCATGCTTACCCTGTCAGGGATAGGCAGAAATAATTGCAAATAACATGGCTCTATGCCATGAAGGGCTTTAGGGTTAATAGCTAACATCTTGAATTGGACCCAAAAATCAACTGGGGCCAATGCAGCTCACAAATACATCATAGTAGTTGGTGTTACTGTGCCATGTACGTTCATAACCATTCACGGCACTGCATTCTGCACCACCTGTAAGAAATGGTCTTCAAGGGCAGTTCCACGTAGAGCACATTGTAATAATTCCAATAGAAAGTGTGCCAGCTTGGGTTTTGAAGCAATTTTATAAGTTCTCTTTCAGTTGAAAAGAGCAAGGAAGAGGATATAGGCAGTAAGGAGTAAGACACTCATTTAATTTCATCTACACATGTATGTTGTTACCTGGGGAACAAGTAAGGCTGTATGCACAGTTGCCTTGAAAAGAATATGAATAATTGCATTACCAAAAGCATTAGTGCAACCCATAGGATTTATTGGCATCCCAGAAGCATAGAGAAATTTGCAATGAAACCATTATCGTCGCTATAAAGTTTTGGGAGCTTCATGAGACTTTTCCTAAGGTGGGACTCTCCCATTACAAAGGCATGATAGAGAGATGTGAATGGAATATCACCTACAGATTTTTGAGCATATTTCAAGAGGTTTAATTAAGACAAAGCAATAAAAAGTTGCAGTCCGGTGGCCTTTTCCGCTACTGATTATTGAGCAAGTCACAGCTTCAATTATTCTGGGTCAGCTTTGTGCTATGGGGTCAGATGTGTTTTATTGTTGGGAGACTTGTGCAAGTATGAATTATTGGGAAGTTCTTTGGGAAAGAGTCACTGCTGTATATCGCTCTGCACCTCTGTTATATGGTCTCAAAACTATATTAGAAAAGTCTTTATTTTAAGCAAAAAAAGAAAAACCCAAAACAAACCTAGGGTATGGAGAGGGTTTTTCTTTTAAATCCTTTACTTTGCCATTATTATATTTTTGCACAATGTAATTTAGGCCCAATATGTTTTTGAAATTTCATCCTAAAGAGGAGGACCAGGGTTGAAATGCTACCGGTTCGCACCGGTTCAAGCGAACTGGTAGTAATAAAAGCTACTGGTTCGGGTGAAACGGTAGTAAAAAAAAATACTACCGGTTTGTCCGAACCGGTATTTCCGATGATCAGCTGTGTTGCACGATTTATATTTGCTAGAAAGCAGGAAATCCTGCTTTCTAGTGAATCTAAATTGTGCGGCACAGTTGTTCCCTCCCTCGCTGTTCTATTTACCTTCTTAAGCCTCCTTTTCCCACGCTGCGGGGTAGCGCCTGTAGTGTGCATGCACGCGCAGTGCACATTTGGTGTGCATTGTGCATGCGTGCGGGCAGTGTGCGTTTGGTGTGCACACAGCAAACCAGTGGAAAATGGAGAGGACCCAGAGATCCAAGATAGGTGTCTTCATTTCACTTTTCCAAGAGAAATGGTTTCTGGGAACAATGCAGAATGATCAAATGAGACCTTTGAGCCACAAATGCCCACTTATGGAACAGACGCACCTGATGATCTGTGGGAATGTAACTCTAATGTTTATAGCTAAAGTTTTACTTCATGACACCACATGAACTTAGTTTTCAAAACTTGCCTTTCTTTCAAAAACAAAAATATTGCAATCTGTTCCATCAAATGTCATCTATTTTAATAGCACAAGACTAAACTAAAGAACAAACAATAATTGTAAGCATTTGGCATGCGACCTTTCAAACACACTGAACCACAAACAAAGGTCTGAACGTGTTTTAAGATGAATTCAGATCATGCAGTGAGGTGTGTAATATTAAATATGTGACTGCCATACAAATTACACAGAACTTTAAATTTTCCCCTTTATTTTGATTTGTTTTTTTAAAAAAACACAATATGCTCCAATGTTTGGCACAAAACAATTTACTTTCAGCTTTCTTCCTGTATTAATTCCTGTATTAGTAAGTAGATTAAATTGAACATTTATCCATTTATCTACCTGACATCTCTCTGACTTTAATGAAGATGTTAAATCTAAGTCCAGGCACCACCACTTCAGACAGGAGAAGGAGAATGTGCTTCTCTTGGGGGATATTTTTCCACAGGTGGTGGTTGGTTTTTTTTTCTAAAATATCATGAAGAAGGGTTCCAACCCATTTATTGATTGATGTGTTGAATTTTTGTTGGCTGCTTTTTAGCATATAAAACTGAAAACCAATATTGAAGTACAGAATATAATAATATAAAGATTTCAGCAATGTTAACACTTAGGGATTTTTTTATTTTTATTCTCTTGGGCCGCTATTTTTGAGACAATAATTTGCAGGTGAGTAAATATATATGTGAGCCAGTTTGATGTAGTGGTTAAAGCACCAGGCTAGAAACGTGGAAGTTATAAGTTCTACTTCCATCTTAGGCACAAAGCCAACTGGGTAACCTTGGGCCAATCATTCTCTTTCAGCCCTAAGAAAGAAGCAAGGGCAAAATCTTGCCAAGAAAATTGCTACGACTAGTTCAGGCAGTTGTCAGGAATCAACACTGACTGGAAGGTATAGAAATAAGCAAACAGCAACCACAGTTAGTCCTCGATTTACGACCACAATTGAGCCCGGAATTTTTGTTGCTAAGTGAGGTAGTTGTTAAGTGAATTTTTACCCATTTTATGACTTTTCTTGCCACAGCTGTTAAGTGAAGTACCACAATTGTTAGCAAGATGGTTGTTAAATGAATCTGGCCTTCCCCATTCACGATGCTGATCAAAAGGTTGCAAACATGATCCAGAGACACTACAACCATCATAAATATGGGTCAGTTGCCAAGCATCTCAATTTTGATCATGTGACCATGGGCTTGCTGCAATGGTTGTAACTGTGAAAAATGGTCACAACTTTTTTCAGTGCCATTTTAACTTTGAACAGTCACTAAATGAACTGTTGTAAGTTGAGAACTGCCTGTATATTGCTGTAAAACTCAGAGACTATGTAGCGCATCATCTTCAGAGGTCCCTAGGTTTGGTAAAAACATGCTACTGAATCAGTGGTGGGTTGCTACTGGTTCACCCCGGGTCGGGGGAAACGGTAGCGGTGGTGGGAGGCTCCGCCCACCCGCCCAGATGTTTCTGCGCATGCGACGGGATTTGAAACCCACTACTGCACTGAATTACAAAACATACTGGACTCTTTAGACTAGGTTTCACTAGTTATTCTCCAGTTCCTGTAACTTAGAGAATTCTCAAGAAACAAACAAAATAATTATTTTTGCTCCCTAATCATCTGCTCCTCTTTTAAGTCTTATGGGAGGGGCCAATCATCTCCAAGCCCTACTCCTGAGTCGTCCCTTTTGTTTGAACTATTCTTGCCTTTTGGCAGCTCTGTGCATGCGCACACTGGGAACAGGCTCCTCCCTGTTCCTCTGCCTCGCTGAAGTCCAACTCTAGAGGTTCCGGAGGCAGCACGTACCTCCCAGATGGCCCTTTCTCTGCCTCCGACGCAGAGCCCTCATCTGAGCCTTCCTCAGACTCCAGGATTGGCCCATGTTCCTCCTCAACCTCCTCACTGTCTGACTCGACTGCCAGCTCTGCAGGCCACCGGCAACCACAACACATATAATTTACCATATTTGTTTTCCTTTGCTCTTGCAGCTGGCAGATTTCCGAAGAGTCATCTCTCTCATGCTGGGTCTCAATATCGCCACTGTGGCTCTTCCTGACTATGAAATAGTAACTCGTCTCGAGGGGTTGATCCATTCTCATCAGCATCATTGCTCTCCTTGTGCCTGCTTCAAGTGTCAGTGAAAGAAGATGGACTTTCATAGCTTCTCCACTGAGTGCCTCCTTTCTTTCTACAAATAATAGTTATAACAGTGGAAGTCCGGTTGGATGTTCCAAAAGTTAACATTTTGTTGGAGTTAAATATTGCCTACTCCGAGGAAAAAGAACATTAAGAAGTGCCAATGAAGTATCTTAATAAATAATATATGTATAATTGGGTGAACAGCTTATGGCCTCAGCATCAAAAATGAAACAAAATTCTTATAATCATCAAACAGTGGAATCTCACAGAGACCTGATATTGAGCAGTCTCTCTCTCTCTCTCTCTGTCCCATAAACTATCCTGAGAGTGGAAGGGCAGAAGGAGGAAAATTTCTTGTGAACAGAACTTTCCAGATGCAACAGATCCTCTTAGGATACAAGCTTACAGCATGTGTCAGTGCACTTGCTTTGTAAAACAAAAGATAAGATTATTTCACAAATAATTGAGAAGTTACAAAACAGATGTTCCCATGTCTGAAGTTTTTTCGTATATATAATATGCCTGTTTTGAGTCTGTGACATGAATAGGAAGTTCCCAAGAATATCAGTCCATTTTTTTGTATGTTTACAATAGTGGTTTAAATATTACAAGAGTTCTTTAAAATTGCATCCAATTTTAACACATCAAAGAATTACTAAAATCTGAAGAAGAATATTAGGCTAGAACATTCCATATGGAAATTATACTACTTGGAAGAAATATCACATTGGCACAAATTAAGCAGATAAGATTAGCACTTGGAGAGCTAAAATTTAAATAACAACTGATTTAAAATTTAAAACATCCATTATGGCTTCAGTCCCATGATCCATGAAATACTTTCCCTGGGGTCCTCAGATTTCTTGAATCTTAGCTTCTAAAAGCAGAGAAATGTTCATTTTAAAGGAGAAACTTCATACTTCATTATTTCATATGTGAGATAATAGCAATATCCATATTCAGTATTTCTCCAGTGTTAGGATTTGCCAAGATTGACTATGAATAAGTAGTATTCCTAGCCATTCCATGCTCTACCATGACCCAGAATTGAGGAGAATTATGTTAGTCCTTAAATTAACATTGTCCATTTCTCTCTTTATGGCAACAAGTTAAGACAAAGAAAAACCAACACAGGAAGGGAAATGGTGGCATCTCTTCCTTGTTGAAGCTTAAATACATAGACACTTTGAATTTTTAGTAATCTATCAAATTAGCAAACACTTAGTAATATTACAGGATCAGAGATTTAGAAGTGACCATCCGTTCATCACAGGACAGTTCCCATGACTGAGATTTAGAAGATTAAAGGTTCAATACTTTGCTAATTTAAGAAATCTAGAGTCTACTATTCTGAACTAAATCCCCTTTAGTAATTTAAATAATTGCTTTAAAAAGGTCTATCTAGATCTATTTTCTTTGGTAGAAAAGCTGAAGCAATAACATTTGGAAAACAATTGTCATTTATATGAGTGCATTTTTAAAAATAAACCTATAGATTTTAATGAGAATAAATCATTGCTGGATAGTATTTTTGGGGTCATTTTGCAAAATTTCTTTCAATTTCTGCTCTTCTGTAAAGAGTGTTTGAATCATATATCTCCATTTTCCAAAAGAATATCTAAATATATGTTTAAAGTTTCACATGTCTGACATACTGAACAGGTATGTCAGATCAATAGAAAACACAGTCTGCAACCAAAAGAGCTGCTCAATTTCCTGTGACATATGTGGATGGCTTATAAGATTTCTTTCAATTGCAGGGAAGAGTGTCTTGTCACTGATAATGGCATGAACCTGCCAGATCCTCTGGCAAGTCCACCTTCCCATCCCTTCTACATGATTTTTGGTCCATGAGTCTGGCTATTTCCCCAGGTCAAAGCATTCTGTACTGGCATGTTAATACCTGTTCTTTGCCTTTGTCAAAGGGACAGAATGAAAGACCCATTTTCCCCCATGATTAAGTTTTTAAATAAATGACACTTATTTGCTCATGTAACCAGCAGCATCAAACAAGGTGGTTATGGAATAGGTATAATAATATAAACAAATGGAATACTTTTTTTTTTTAAATGAGGGCATCCTTGAGAAGATAGACTAGTTATAACCTGTTAGGTAAATCAAAGATCTGCATGTTAAAGCTAGTCATCTGTAAATAGACTGAGCAAATGAGATAAGGAGGCAAAGAATGGAACACATACTGAGCAAGCTGAATGGAAAATGAGAGATTACTCACATACCTCCCCAATTCTTTCCTGCCAAGTTTGTGTCATTGATTCCAGTTTTTCCAGCGGTTTGGGGGCATTGGGTCTGACATCCACACCTAATCTGGAAACAGATTGCAGTTCATCCCACCAGATTACCTGGGGAAAATGAATTTCTAATATATTCACTTCCTGATTCCCATCTCCTTCTCTTGTTGAGAGTGTGACTTTAATTATAGAATACTTAAAAGATGCCAGTCAACAAGCCACTAACTTAAAAGTAATCAATTATTTTACAAGCCTGCAGACCTATGCAGCATTTTACACATTTTTCTACAAAACGGAAAGTCTTTTTTCTAATGTGTTTGAAACTTGACAGATCTAATATCTTAAAAGACTAACAGGATGTCAGTATAAACTTTAAAAAGTGATATGCTGGTGGGTGAATCTCCCACGAAAATCAGTTATAGTAAAACAAATGGGGATTAAAAAAATAAAAAAGAATGAATTTGGGTTCTTAGAAATAAAGTGTTCTTGGTATTGTATTTAAGACATTGCTTAGCTGGGAGAAAAAAAGAGAAGAATTATTTGGGAAACATGGGAGATTTCCAGATGGAAAACAAACATAATTACATTGAATGAAAATTGAAATTTAATGTCACAAACAAATTGAGTAATTAAAGATTTTGGCACATTTTTTGTAGGTATTAAAGGACTACCAGAATCAAAACCAAGCATAGGTGGTATTATGCATTATGGTTTACTGGTGTATGTCTCTATGTGTATCTCTAAGCAAGTGAAAATAAGAGGTGTTGGACTATTTGTATTTTCTAGTAGTGTGGGATGTGGCTCATAGCAGCATGTCCCAAACTGACTCCTTCCAGATTTTTTTCAACTGCAGTTCTTAAAATTGGTCAGCTAATGGGGCCAAAGATCAGGGAATATGAGACAAATAACCTATAACGTCTGGAAAAGTCATTTAGATTCTAATGGGAAGTCCTCAAAAGAAGGTAAAAGCATTCTAATAAGCATAGAGGGTTTTGTAGAAGTAACAGTAAACAAACAATATGCGGATGGATTATGCAAAATACCCTTTGCTTTTTGCAAAAGGATATAGTGGTATCAGGAAGAAAAAGTACAGGTAAATGTGCAATCCTAAGCATACTTGCAAAGGACCTTATCTGTCGTAAATCTACTTCTATCAGGAAGTAAGTATAGCAGTTTCTCTACTACTACCCAGAGGATGCTCAGAATGTGAGGAATATTGCTCATAATTATCAAGTGACATGTAGAGGTTTTCACCCATTTGCTACTGATAGTCCTCTAAAGAACAATCTCCAAAATATTTTGGTTATGCTGCAGGTAATTAATTATAGGGTGCTGTCAACATGAACAATGTTTAACAAAAAAGGCTTTGAATTGTAGAAAACAGTGAAATAGCAAAGAGACACTAAACAAAATCTACTGGAAAAAATGTTTGGCAGCATTAAAGGTCAGAAACTGATTTGTAGAACACATGAAGACCACATATACTTTCAGTTTTTGAAGAAATGTTGGATGTAAGTTCTATTAACAATATTTTATTTAAGAGAGAAAAAGAATTGCAGCAAATCATCATAATGGCTCTGTAGGAGGCTCTAGATTGGAAGATGCTTGGAGTATACTTCCATATTTATTGTCAACCTCACTGGAGATTCTGGGAATTGTTCAACACAGTAGGAAGGATTAATTTTTATTGTTTGCTGTCATAATTAAAATGTTTATAACTTTCCATATTTTGTAAGATCTCAAAGCATGTTATAGTACCATGATGGGACGCCCTGCCTCCCGCCAGCCAGCTGCTCTTCGGGTCTCTGCTGCACATGTCTGCATGTCCGTGCATACATGTGCATATGTCCACGCATGCACGCATATGTTGGTGCATGTGCGTGCACATACCTTTCAATTTGGACATGCGCATGCGCAGTTTGGGCACTCGGTGTCTAAAAGGTTCGCCATCACTGTTATAGTCAATAAAACCAGTAAAACCATAGAAAGTGGTTAAAGAAAGCTGAATAAAGAAACTTTATTTCATCCCATATGAGTAAAAAATATGTAAAGAATGTATAACAGATGCACCCTTTTCTAGACTGGGACATCCTTCCGTAATTCATGCTGTAATAATCCCAAGGCTCAAGTATTGCAACATGCTGTACATGGAGCTGCCCTTGAAGACTACTTGCAAGCCTCAACTGGTCCACAATGAATTGGTGTAGGTAGTCAAGAGCATGCATTGGTATACTGATGTCACACCTCTGCTCCACATGCTACATTGTTTACCATTTCTGGATATGATTCAAGATGTTACTCATGACCTACAAAGCCCTCATGGCATAGGGCCTGATTATTTGAGAGACCACCTATCTCTCATACGTATGCCTGTCTTACTCAGGCTCAGAAGTTTGGCACACCAGACTTTATTTCAAGGTCTTTCGAATAAACCATGCCATTTATCACTATACCAGGAAGCAGGTTGATATAATGCCTGCCTTCTGGAATGAAATTCCTCTTTAGATCAAAATGGCTCCTATCTGGCTGGTGTTTTAGAGAGTCACCAAGACCTTGTTGTTCTTTTAGGTCTGGACCTCCCCTCTACTGGATGTTAGATGGTGGGGTGTCTGCATAAGTGGAAATTTCCAGGAGCGGGGCAAACTGCAGATGCTGGACTACCTCAATTGGTAGAGCAACTGGATGGACTTGAAAGTCAACTTTTTGTACCTCAGTTTTCCCATTCTTGCATTAAACTTTTAAACGAATGCTTGTTGCTTTTATATTTCATTTCTCCACCTCTTATTGCTTCCAGTAATCCATATCTTCAATGGAAGCTATAAAGCTGAAGATTTCCACATCTTGCTATGGCGATAACTCTATAGCCAATTAGGTCACCTGACTTTTTCAAGTACTCTGTATTATTCGTTGAATTGGGTGCTGAACTAAATTTATAAAGTGTATATGTGTGAATGTATGCACGTAAGCACTGTCCACACAATGCATATAGACTTACATGCATACATATGCATTGCAGTAACTAAGACTACCTTTACCATATCGTTGTCTTTTCACAGATGACGAGTGTAATAGAACATATGGTAAAATTATACACGGATCAGTGCACTTCCACACAGCTAATTTAGCATGAAACAGATTGTTTGTGATTGCAGCAGTCTACAATGTATGCTTCACTGTAAATAAGTGACTATTAGCATATTCAACGATACACCTATCTTATTCCTGTATTTTTTAGTAAGAGCGACTGTGCCAAACCTTGTCTCAACTGTTGAGGAAAGCTGGGAGTTGGTGAAAAGAAGGTGCATGGGAGCAAATTTGGAAATATTTAATGGAGAGAGGACATGCTCATGAACCATTATATTTTCAAATAGCTTGTTGTGCCATCCCACAGGGGATGAAGTGTTATCATCAACAGTTTGTACCGGTATCTCATAAATAGCAAGCCAATATAATGAATGGCAATACAATCATTGGCCCCCACGGAAAGGGCTCGCAACTTGGGCGTCCTCCTGGATTCACGGCTGTCTTTAGAAGAGCACTTGACGGCCGTGACCAGGAGGATTTTTCATCAGGTTCGCCTGATCCGCCAGTTGCGTCCCTTTCTAGATCGGGACTCCCTAAGCACAGTCACTCAAATTATTTAATTCGTTTTTATTCTATTTTAAATTTTTGTATTTATGTGTTTTATTCTGTGGCTGTTTACCGCCCTGAGTCCTTCAGGAGTAGGGCGGTATATAAATCCAATAAAAACGAAACAAACAAAGAGATAAAGATAAAATAAAGAAAATCTAGACTACTATGAACAGCAGCACTCTGGATATGAATCAAAAGATGAAATGAGATCATGGACAACCCAGCCATTAGGCTTCTTCCATAATCCAAGGAAGGCAGGACCAGGCATGAATCTTTATATACGATTCGACAAAATTTTATTAGTTTATTAAACTATAGAATACAAAGAAAAATGAAAATAATGGAAAAGTAGGGGAAGAAAAGGGAAAGAGGAAAAAGTGTAGGGAAAGGGAAAAAACTCTTTTTGGCACAGTAGAATAAGGTATAACACACAGCCTCAACTTTTTACTTCTGCGTAATACTATATACTAGCCATTTCTAGACAATATATCATGGATTAGGACCAGGGGTGAAATCCAGCAGGTTCTGACAGGTTCTGGAGAACCAGTAGCGGAAATTTTGAGTAGTTCGGAGAACCAGCAAATACCAGCTCTGGCTGGCCTCAGAGTGGGGAGGGAATGGGGATTTTGCAGTATCCTTCCCCTGG